AACATTTACCATGAGATTAGTAAAACGACAATGAACAGGTATATTTGTGATTGAACTTGACTAACAAGCAAGTTGTAAAAACACACACATATAATTAAATTTATATAGAGAGGCTTAAGTTACTTTGGTAGAAGACCACGATGTCGTTTATATAGCAAACACGGACTTTTATCATGGTAACTTCAGCCTAAAATATGTTAACAAGGCAGGTAAGGATAGCTGACCACATTAATCCTCAAATATTAGCCGATTTAATCTTTTAAAAACAACACTGATATAACTACATATATACACTACGTATACATTATTTTATAATGTAAATAAATCATTTTATGGTCTACTACAGTGGTTCCCAAACCTGTCCTGGAGGCCCCCGGGCCCTGCACCTTATCTAACACACCTGATTCCACTCATCAGCTCGTTAGTAGAGACTGCAAGAACTAAATTGGGTGTCTGATTAGGGAGACATACAAAATGTGCAGTGCAGGGGGTCCTCCAGGACAGGTTTGGGAACACTGGTCTACTAATTACCAAAAATCACAGTTCTGTCTCTCCAACTCAATGTATTTCAATTGCCATATGAACTTCCTGGAACTATTTGAGGTCTACATGAGTCACGTGACGATCGAGCGTTTTGGACTTCCGTTGACGCAACTCTCTCTTTCTGTGGCTCTGGTAATGATCTAAGCGAGCCATGCAAACAGGGTCAACGCCCCCAAACAACGGGACAACAAAGCCTTCATTGTGAAGTTTATTGATTTGTCTGCGCTTTTGGATCATAACACGTTAAGCTGTTTGCTTATAATGGACTTCTATGGGGGAGAAAACGCTTAACGTGATATTATTCACTTTATCTGTGGAGTAAGGGCTCATTGTTTTGACAGTAGTTAGTGTTTATTACAAGTAAGGCAACATACATAAAATATATGATTAAATGTGTACAAATGTTTTAAGTTGTTTTAAATTGGAATATACTACAAATATATTTTTATATATTAATAATTGTGGGGTGCACAAGAACCAAAAACATTGAACAAGATTAGTTTTCACTTAATAAAATATCTTCATTTATTTGGAATGAATTTTCTAACACAACAAACTTAACATTTTCCATGAGATTAGTAAAACGACAATGAACCGGTATATTTGTGATTGAACTTGACTAACAAGCAAGTTGTAAGAACACACACACACACATACATACATACATATATAATTATATTTATATAGAGAGGCTGAAGTTACGTTGGTAGAAGACCACAATGTCGTTTATATAGCAAACACGGACTTTTACCATGGTAACTTAAGCCTAAAATATGTTAACAAGGCAGGTAATGATAGCTGACCACATTAATCCTCAAATAGTAGCAGATTTTATCTTTTAAAAACAACACTGATATAACTACATATATATATATACTACGTATACATGTATACATTATTTTATAAATAATGTAAATAAATAATTTTATTGTCTACTTATTACCAAAAATCACAGTTCTGTCTCTCCAACTCAGTGTATTTCAATTGCCCGCTATGAACTTCCTGGAACTATTTGAGGTCTACGTGAATCACGTGACGATCGAGCGTTTTGGACTTCCGTTGACGCAACTCTCTCTTTCTGTGGCTCTGGTAATGATCTAAGCGAGCCATGCAAACAGGGTCAACGCCCCCAAACAACGGGACAACAAAGCCTTCATTGTGAAGTTTATTGATTTGTCTGCGCTTTTGGATCATAACACGTTAAGCTGTTTCCTTATAATGGACTTCTATGGGGGAGAACGCTTAATGTGATATTATTCACTTTATATGCTGAATAAGAGCTCGTTCTTTTGACAGTAGCAAGTGTTTATTATAAGCAAAATTTGACAGAAATGTGGTTTTCCCCGGTCGTTGTTAAAGGTTCA